TGGGCCGGGAGGAAATTCCTGCAGGAGGTGTGGACAGCGGAGCGGCTGGGTGTGTCCCTCGCAGCCAGGCGGTATCTGCGGCTCCGCCTCGCCGGGCTCAGGAGGGGGTGCCGCCCTCCTCCATCTGCTGCGAGCCTGGCTGGCGCGGCAGACGGTCCCTCGGCCCTGGGTGGGGCAGGGCGGCTCCCCTTCCATTCATCCTGGCCCGACAAGCGGCTGCCCAGGGCTTGCTCCCTCCGGACTAGTTCTCGCCGGTAGAGGTGCAGTGGAGCAGCCTTCCTTTCCTCCCACCTCCCCCGGTTAAGGGGGGGGGCTCCTCTGTCTGCTGCGGAAACCCACGGGGGGGGGAACATGGGCTCTGCTGCGGAAGGCAGCTTTTCAGGAGCAGCCCCTTGTGCGGGGCCTCTGCCGAGTGGAGCCTTCCCTTGGGGAGGGAGCTGGGCTGAGGGGCCCCTTTCACAGCGGCAGGAGATCAGCAGTGGGGGGAGCACTCCGTGGGGATGGGGTCTGCTTGGCAAAAAAGGACCTGGGCTCCTTCCGGACACCCCTGGCGTGGGACGTGAGGGGACTGCTCTTCTGCCTTGGGAGGGGTGTGTCTCTGTGTCCTTCCTCCTGCTCAGGATTTGGTGAAGGGTGGGGGCCCTGGAAACACCTCTTCTGGGCTTTATCCCCCCCCCCCTCAAGAGAAGGGCAGGGGCTCTCTGGGCTTCTCAGGCTAGGAGGGTCAAGCCTCCACCTGCTCTGCAGCAGGCAAGGAACTCTGGGGGGCACCCGAGTGTCCCTCGCTCTGCCGGGGGCCCTCCCACCTTCGGGTTAGCCTGCCCGCTTGCTGGCATCCTGCCTGTCCGCAGGGCTCTGCCCTGCCCCGGGTCCCTGGCATTTCGCTCTGGGCTGGGTGAGAGGCAGAAATGGGTGTCCGGGGAGGCTGGTGGTTCCTCAGCTCGGGGAGGGCTTTTCCCCCCGTGGAATGTTGAAGGGCTCCACAGTGCAAGGTGCCTGAAGTTGGGGGCTTTGATCTCCATACCTGCCTTGCCCCCCCACCCTTCCAGACCCCTTCCTGGCCCTGAAGCCAAGAGACAGGCCCTCCGTGGGAGAAAGGAGCCCTGGTGGTGGAGGTTAATGTGCAACTGGCCTGGGGCGGGACTCCAGCCAGGATTGCAGGGTTGGGGCCTCTGCAAACCCTGCTAGTTCCCCTCCAGCCAAACGGCTGGGTCCGGGTAGTCTGGCCTGCTTTGTTTGTCGAAATCCGAGCATTTCGTGCTTGTTCAGCCCCTACAGGCAAAATCCTGGCTTGCAACTAATCTGGAAAGCTCCTGACTTGTTAGGCGGCTCCCTTATGGGCAGCCATAGTCGTTGGAGGGGTCAGGTCTGTGCTCCAGTGGGAGAGACCACAAGGGACGTGCTAGCCCCAGCCAAGAAGGCTTGCCCCTCCCCGTAAGACTTTGGGGGGGTGGGAATCCCTGCTACTGCTTATGAAATAGCCTAGGGAGGCCCTGCAGTGTCCTTTGGAGGGGTGACCAGTGGCTGCCCAGGCGTTCCTTGTTCATGGAAGGGAGCAGGCCAGGTGATCCTGACGGGGG